CGACATATACAACAACTGCCCAGTAGCATCCTTAACGAGCCTCCTCCACAGAGGCCGATTTTGACACTGCTGGTACCAGTCATCGCTAAGCCCACCCAGCTCCACATCCTCTTGTACCACATCACTCCATCTCTTCTCTAGCCCGTGCCACGCCCAATTAGCCCCCTATATCCGGCTGATCAAAAGCTGTTTAGGAATGCGGTGGCTGGGCATGCGGTCTACATAAAACAGCCAACGCAGCCTTGCTGGAGGAGCTCACCGATGGGACTTTGTCCAGATCTTTCAAGGATATGTGAGTTCCACACCCAATCCAGCCTGATTAAACCCAGGATGGATCGTAAGCTAGCCAGCCTAAATGTTTCTAACTGGCGAAGATGTTCATTAGGGGGGTCCATGTTTTGCAAGTATAGATAAGGGAGGGCATGACCATGGCTGAGAAGACCCCAATCTTTGTGTGGAGCGACAGACCAGGTAGCTTCCACACAGTGTTACAAAGCCGATTAAAAGATAAAGCCGCTGGACTGATTCGGAGTGATACCACTGCTGTCGAACCAGAGCTGGTCATGAGCACACTGCCCATGTATAGAAAACTCTCCACTTACACCACAACTGCTCCATCACCAATGAGGAGTTGAGGGGGTGGAGTGTTTGATGGCACACACTACCCAGGCAGGTACTTGGTTTTGGTGAGGCTAATGGTAATACCCCACCTCTTAGTGGCACATTCCAGGTTCAGCAGCAGCACCTCTACCTCCTCCTCTGAATGAGCACCAATCACCAGCTCATCAGCATACATAACATGGCGGACCAATAGGGTGCCATCCAATGACCACACCCAGGCATGCATCAGTCTCCCATTGTATCTCTACCAGATGGAGATTCCTCCGGTACAGCCATAGAAGGCGTCATGAACTATGTGGTCGAAAAATATGTTAAATAATGTGGGACCTAGAAGACATCACTGTCACACCCCAAGGTGAACAGGGAATGGCTCTGAGTCCGGACCACGTAGTTTTACCTAGGCCTGCCCACCATCATGAAGGCTCTTAATGATTATGAGCAGAGTCAGGGACCAGAGCCCAGGTCTTTTGATGGTATGATAAACCTTGACTAGGTAAAAAAAAGCAGAGATGTAGGTCCTTTTGTAATTCCCTACACCTCTGCTGTAGCAGGCGGACAGAAAATATGGCATCTGTGCAAGACCGCCTTGGCCTGAAACCACATTGGGGCAACTGCAAGCCTCTCATCAGCGTGCCTGGCAAGGTGATGCTGAATAATCCTTGCCAGGACCTTTCCTGGCAATGTGAGGATGGAGATGCCCCTGTAGTTGTTAATCTGTGCATTCCTCCTTCGTAAAAAAGGGGGACCACTAGGGCATCCTTACAATCATGTGGAATCCATCCAGTGGTTATGTCATTTAGGGCAGTCTGTGAGATCATCACTGACCGGTGCTTTTCCTGGTCTCAGACTCTGGATTGACGTCCGTACTTCCTCAAGAGATGGTAATTCAGCCAGCCAATCACACACACTAAGACACACACACAATATCCATAAATACACCACGATATTCCGACACACACCACGATACCCATACAAAATAAAATACTCCTATATACACGAACATACACATGATACCGCTACACACACCACGATACTCCCACACATGCAGCGCTACCACTAAACACACCACAATACTAGAAACAACCAGCATTTTCCACGAAGCAGCGGTGACAACACCATAGTGCTTGTGCCAGGCTAGGTGCACCTTGAGGCCACATGAAGTGTGGAAGGTTCAGTGGCTAGAGGTCAAGGGACAGACCAAATTATCATGGATTGACTCACCGAGATGACCGACAGATGCCCTATCTGTGCTCCCCACTGTGCCTACTGGCTGCGTTTTTAGTGGAGTGCCAGGTGGCTCGTTGTGAGTGTCGACTTCCTCCAACTGAGCAGTAGCATCCTTCATGAGCCTCCTCCACAGATGCCTATCTTTGACATCGGCAAGTCCAATCAGCTCCACATCCTTCTGTATCTCATCAGCCCAACTCCTCTGCAGCCCATGCCATGCTCATTTAGCCCCCTCTATCCAGCCAAATAGAAAATGCTTGCACATGCACTGGCTGCACATGAAGGTTACACGACCCAGCCAATGTAGCCTCACCTGCCAGAGGATTTCACTTATTATGTCTAGATATTTCAAACATCTGTGAGCTCCTCACAAGATACAGTGTGGTTCAACCCAGAATGGACCCTAAGCAGGCCAGCCTGAATGTTTAAAACCAGTGCAGATGTTCCTTCAAAGGGGCCTACGTTTTCCAAGTGTAGTGGCATAGAATAATATTCATGTAGCAGCATCGCGCTGGCTGCTGGCAGGGAAGGGTATCTCCAGCTTCGGCAGCCTTAACGTCAGCATGCCAGGTTATACACCAGAGGGGGATCTAGGGGAAAAGTCACAGAAGGGGCGCATCAAGAACCCGCTGGTAGGTTGTACAAAGGGGGCGTGGCTGGGGGCGGAGCCAGGCTATGCTGATAGGAAAGGGCCCCTGTAGGGGACCTCGTGGCTGTCGTATGGAGTGGGATCCCCATCATGCTGCTGAAGTCTTCACAATTCTTCTCGTCGTTCTCCACCATTCTTCTCGTTGTCTTCACCATCCTCCTTGTCGTCGTCTCCATCTACCCCATCTTGGGGCATCACCAGTCAGGCAGCCTACCAACTGTCCTGACTGAGTAACGTCGCCGACCAAAGACGGACTTATTGTGGAGTGTTAACCCCGATGGTGCTTGTTAATAAAGAAGTGCCTCCAACTCTTAGTGTCTCCGAGTTAGTCACCACACAAGCAGAGAGAAGGCAGTGCATAACTATGGCGAAGACCTGGATCTTTTTATGGAGCGATACGCAAGGTTGCTTCTAAACAGCATAATGCAACTGATGAAAAAATGCCACTTGATTGATCTGGAGTGAGACCTCTTTCAAACTGGAGCTGGCCATAAGTACATTGCCCAGGTATGGAAACTTCTCTACTCTCTCCACAACTGTATGTATGTTGGACTTCTTTCCCACTGTATGTAGCCAACCATGCTAATGCCACATGACATAATATACCCAGGCAGGTACTTTGTTTCTGCATGGAGTTGATGGTAAGGCCTCATCTCTTAGTGGGATGTTCCACGTTCAGTTGTAGTCTCCAACTCATTCTCAGAATGATCAGCAATTACCAAATCATCAGCATACATAACATGGATGACTAATAGAGATTCCCTTCCCTCACCCAGGCATCAAAGAGCCTTCTATTGTGCCCGTATTAGATGGTGGGGTGTGAGGGTGACTGTGTTTAAATGGCAGGAGTTATGTACAGAAGTGGTTATGTATAGAATTTATATGATCAATTAGGTGGCTCGTTGCTTTCTATCGTAAGGCATAATACAATCATGCTCCTTGGGGATTTGAATATCATTACGGGCATCAACCACAGCGGCTTTGAATATGTCAAACGGCCTTTCGGCCTCGGAATTCTGAATAACAACACTGCTAGACTTCTGTCTGTCTGCTCATCTGAGGGCCTTACTATTGTCAACTCATGGTATCATCGACTGAACATCCATATACAAACTTGGATCTCAAAGGATAGTCACACAACTAATAAAATAGACCATACCCTGAACAAGGACAGAGCCATCTTTAAGTCATACTGGGTTTTCCGTAGAGCAGAGGCACCTTCTAACACTGAACACCGCCTGATTGTCGCACAATTTTCAGCAAGCCATCATGAAGCTTAAAAACAGCAAAGCAGGCTAGATGGTATTTCTCCAGGACTGTTGAAATGTGCTCTGCATCGGTTCTGCATCAAGATCTGGATGTCTGGCAAGATACCTGCTAATTAGAGAGACAGTATAATTGTTGTTACGTACAAAGGATCGTGTACGGCATGCAGCAATTATAGACCTATCACTACTTTCAGTGCTGGGAAAGGTTTTTGCACACGTAATTCTAGGAACGCTGCAACCACTCCTGACAAAACACCATCACCCATAGCAATCAGGATTCACAGCCAGTTGATCTACGATGGATGCTGTACTCCACCTACTTACATAACTGCACCCTGAGTTTGACCGCCCATTGCGTGTCGCTTACATTGATTTGAAGGCAGTTTTTGACTCTGTGGATCTATTCGCGCTCTGGTCTGCCTTATGAGGGATTGGGGTCACCAGTATCCTGATGGACCTTGTGAAAATCTAGATGTAGGCAAAAGTGGAAGGGTTCGTGTTGGGTCCAGACATTTGCTAACATTTTGAGACCACATCTGGGATACATCAAGGATGTGTCCTCACAACAGTGCTCGTTTGTTGGGCGTTGACTGGATCTTTGAAAACGAGACCCATGATATTGGATTCAGAATTGGCCGGCACCACTTACCTGACCTCAACTACGCTGATGATGCAGCCTTGTTTGTTGAGAAGTCTGCACCAAGTATTAGTTACTGTATTAACCCATGAAATATATAGGAGCCTCACCCAGGTGATGCAAGGAACTGCAGGACTCTGCTGCATCAGCTGCTCTAGAGTGGCTCTGTCGAGGTGTGGAGCCCTCCCACTGGTAGCGGTCTCACCCTCTCCTCTATGAAAAAGTCACGTGCTTACTATGTGAGCCTAACCTGTACAAAGCCATGTCAAGTGAATCCCTCACACTGGTAGCGATCTCACTCTCTCCTCTATAACCAAGTCACATGCTCACTATGTGAGCATCACCGATATAGACATTACTCACACACACGACTGTAAATATATTGTACATACAATTATTAAAGTGCATTACATTCATAAGCTGTAATCAGTAACCATGTCATACCCAACAGCACACGGAGTCTGCTCGCTGTGAGTTTGTACAAATGAAAATTTCTCAGCATGGACACATTTTCCACGGACTGAATCAAGGCATTAGATTGGTGATACAGGAACCTGCTGGATCTGCAGAGGCACGTGACTCAGAGGAAGGCACTCACCAGGATCTGAGCTTTTAATGTAAGCCAGCACGTTTTTTGTGCCCCACTCCATGGGTCTCCATAGAGAATCCGGGACGTTGGAGGCATCCGGGGAGACAGACGTCAGCAACTTCATGAACAGCTCTGTGAGACAATGCGACTTATCAAACAACAACCTTCATAGATGGTAAAATATTGTTATTTCAATAGCATATTTTGTTGTGATTAACATATGATATGTCTATAAACATTCCGTCATGTAAAATTTAAGCCCCCACATCACTAAACGTTTTATTATTTAGCTGTTTGTTATGACATTTTAGATTGTGAAAATAAGCAGATGCAATAGCAGCATAAACCTGCCTTATAGTAAAAGTGTGCAAAGAAGCATCAAGAGATGTACACTGATAATTATAATTGCAATGAGATTTAAAAAAACAGGAACACATGCATAAAATAAAATTCACAGGTTATACTGTTTGGGTCTTTTGATAAAGTCACGTAGATAGAAAAAATAATGATAAAATAATATCTACGTGACTTTACCGAAAGACCCAAAGAGTATGAATTCCGGCAGTCACGAAAGCTTTAAGTCAAGATTCACAGGTTAATGACATCCTGGAAATTGCTAAGAAAATAAATTCAGGTTAGGAAGAACATCGTCGTTTGAGGGACGATGGCCCTTGGTCAAGAATAATGATGGCTTGGCAGCCAAGAAATGGAATGCAACTGAGAAGATGCATGAGAAGGCAAGGCTTTACAAAGGAATACAGGGTTCACAGAAGAACATGGTAATTCACACAAAAATAAGATTCCACCCAGGAAGATAAAATTCCACACAAGTCTTCCTGTATGAACGCTTGTCTGCATGTTTCACAAGGATGTATGAAGGAAAGAAGTCAAGAAGACAAGGGTTCCACCAAGAACGCATGGATTTACACAGAAAAAATAAGGTTTATGCATGAAGCTATTGGCTGTAATTCGTAATTGAATGAATGCACGAATGACTAAACCAACTATTTAATAATTTAGTGTTTATTAAATAAATAAAGGTTGAATGAATGGTGAATTCTATTCTATTTTTGAGTTCAGCAATAGGTTCAGCAGTTGAATGTTAATGATGAATTAATACACACTACATACAAGTACCAACATAGCATATTCTTAAATGCATATAAGTTAATGTACATTTCCAACATTTCCTCCCACACATAGAATACATGTGTAATGACAGTAGAGCCTACATGCGCTTTGAGTGGACTAGTCGTCACAGGAGGTAATGACAGGGGAGTCAGCCTACAGTGCGAATGCACTAGTGTCCATGGGAGGTAATGACAGGAGAGTCAGCCTATAGTGCGAATGCACCAGTGTCCAAGGGAGGTAATGACAGGTGTATCAGTTGTGAGTGCGACGGGACTGGTGGCTACGGGAATGATGGAGAAGGGAGCGTGGTCAGGTGACAGAAGAGGTCGGTAGAGTCTGCCGGTGGAGCGAGCATCCAGAGTCAGCAAGAATGAACGAGAAGAGAGGAGTGGCCTCGGTTGGTATATAAGGGAAATGCGCGGGAAACTCGGGGCTGTTGCAGTGGGGTCTCCGCCTGATGTCAAGTGAACGTTTCTTCAATAAAGTGCCATCTCAAGAGAAGCGTGTCAAGTCGTTATTACACATGCATATAATTTCATGTATACACAATTACATGCACACAATAAAAATGCAGTATGGTTGCTGCAATATAACGATACTAGAAAAAAGGTACAATGGAACCGGCACAATAATCAGATTGTTCAGTTTGCTATATTGTCATATTTGTAGAGAATGACTCAGAAGCGTCAATGATTAGAAAACCTTTAGCCGGCTTCTGTGAGTGAACTGCTATTTAATAAACTTAATGACATGTAGTTGTAGTGCATAAAGAACACGAACAAAACGTTAAATAGAATTACAAAGTAGATTTTTAAGATATCACAGTAATTATCATATCGTTATATGCAATATTGTATCATAAAATAAGTGATTGCAGCAACCCTAACATATACATGCATGGGATAAACATATCTGCTGAGTGCATCACAACCTCAATAATCTTGTGCTCCGTGCTTCTATGTCGAGGTATTGCCCCCTATTCCTGGACAATAACGTCAGTTTGATTAAGAAAGTCAACATGTGTACTGCACACACAATGACTTAGTCCTAAAAAGTGTTATTTTATGATTGGATGCTTCAATAGCGGGGAATGCCAATGATCGTGAGAGCCATTCCTCCTATTGGCCATCTGTCAAGTCTGCAGGTCCCTTATCACTTGCGTGTTCATTTGCACGCACTTACTAGCAGTCATTAGCAATTTTTATATATTTTTTATTCATTATAATTTACATTCTCACATTACAGGCAAATAAATCTACGGTGCCAAACCATGTGCTATTTGTGTCTTTAACTTACATCGTGGGGGGGAGGGGCAACTTCCTGTATGATCCATATTTGTTTTTAGCTGAGGCTTTGTGGTAGTTTATGCCAACATGTTTTTCATTAAGCCTGCACCACAATTACAAGAAGCATGGCATGAACCTACCTCGTAGTATAACTTCCTCCTGTGCTTGTATCGGCAGCGGAAGATTCCACATGTTTAGCAGTGGGCTGTATGTGATGATTTTTTCTGGCGTTTGCGGTTATCGGTGGAGGGATTTAGAGAGCTAACTATATTTGTTGATAGTCTGCTATTTTATTTATGGTTTTGTAGCTGAGGTGGTCCAGTGCAGAAAAGTAAAAATGCATGTTAACTGAGTGGAATATTTTCATGTATGTAGGAGTTCTTTCTATGCTCTTTTTAAAACTAAATACTGATGCACTTTACATAACGTACCTGACAACCATGCATGTTTATAATGTGCCACAAAATCAATAAGGAACATTTGTATATATTAATGGATTAATGCATTAATTCATGTGCAGTAATGCTTTAGCCTATCCAAGTATTTGATGCATGTTTACTAATTTAAGAAGCATAACTGAAGTTCACAAACATTGCCCTTTAAAGGAAGAGAAGTGCTCATGGCTGCGAGTAAGCGCTTAAAGACAGAAGTGACCAATCATGGAGCTGCACAATTGACAGATGACCTAAAAGAGGCACGGCTCATACAGATTTGCATTGCCAGTTATTTACGTATATTACCATGAAATATAATGCCAAATTAATGCGTGCACAGTGTAAATATGAGGTTTGTACAAAAGCTGCCATGTTGATGAATCACAGCCGAGGATTCAAACAGAAAGACAAGGGTTCACGTAAGAAGACAAGGATGCACACACAAACATAAGAATTTACACATAAATACTTATTGTGACAGAATGTGTGGCTTTTAGTAAGGGGCAGCACTCACCTATCCCCCCTTCCTTGTGGAAAGTTTTTGCAAGGACAGATCTCTCCTTGACGTTGTATGGATCACGGATGTTGTCCATCCTCAACAGGGTTGGTATGGTGGAATTGTCAAACCTATAAAACATGATTGAGGATGAGAGTTTTTGAAGACAACCCTCTACTATCATACATATTAAATCACGTAAATTCCATTACTACACCATATAATTTTTTTTAAGTGTGTTTGGATATGGTTTTCATGACCAGTCAGATTTAAGCACCCTAAACCGATTCATCATCATCAGCCATGTTCAATCTATTACTGGATGAAGGATTCCCCAATCTACCACCACCTGTTATGACTCTGCAATGTAATAATCCATACAGCGCCTGTCCATCATGGCCGCTGTGAATAGCCAGTCTTATTCATATTCTTGGTTCTTTCGGTAAAGTCACGTAGAAGGGAAATAATAAAACCATATTAATATAAAGAAACAATTTCTCATGACGTTTCGACTGCAACACAAGCAATCATCATCAGGTGTGAAATCCACAGAAAGAAAATTTGAAAAATGTGGCGGTTTTTTCCTAACGTCAGCACCATAGACAGCGATTTGGCAGTTTGCCAGATGGACGAGTCCATCTATGTTCGGAAAAGAGGAGGGGGGAGCAGAAAATGGTATGCGGTCTGAAAGTCACCGTAAGCGTGAACACAATCAATTAAGACCCGAAATGGTTGATTAAATCCTTCCAATGATTGCTAAGCCAGAATCCATCTTCTCGGTTGAAATTGTCTCTGTGTTTGTATATGTGAATAGCCTCATTAACGAATCTCTCATGGTAGCCAGATGGCTTGCAAAGAACCTCTGTCTTGGAGAAATCAACGTCATGTGAGTCCACTGAATTATAAGTGATCTACCACGGCCGAGGTGTTGGTCCTTCCGTGTTTAAGGTCTGCTTTGTGCTCACGGATGCGGTCAGAGACATGTCGTTTGGTTTCTCCAATGTAACTACTACCACAGAGGCAACTCAGTTTGTAAATGGCAGGGTACTGTATGTCCGGAATCACATCTTTTACAGACGGAACCAGATCACGGATTTTATGTAATGTGTTGAATCGGACCTGGATCTTGTGTTTATTCAAGATATTGGAGATCTTTTTTGTGATCCCCGCAATGTAGGGTAAGGTGATAGTTTTGAATGGCTCCTCAAGAGGGTCCTTTTTCATGGTTGGAGTGATGGCTTTGCGGATTGTGTAGTCGGAGTAACCATTAGCCTTAGGAGCTTGGTGTACGTGCTTGAGTTCACTGGCAATGTGTTCCTGGTCAGAGATGCATTGGGCTCTATGGTGCAAAGTCTTGATTAGGGAATTATTCTGCTCCAGCAGCTGCTCCAGCAGCTGCCCCAGCAGACCCACCTCTCTCTCTGCCCAACCCCCCCCCTCTCTCTATCTAAGGCCTCGACACAGAGGCATTGGGTCTCTGTGTGTCTATGTTGTGTGTCTCTCCCTGTGTGTCTGTGTTGTCTCTCTCTGCTTGTGTTTCTGTCTGTGGGACTCCGTGTCTGTGTTCTGTCTCTCTCTCAAATTTAGTTCTACCTGATGACGGTTGCTTGTGTTGCAACCGAAGCGTCGTATTCTATTATTTAATTTATTTTCTGTCTATGTGACTTACCGAAAGAACAAAAGAGTAATTCCTGCAGTCACGAAAGCTTCAAATCAAGTTTGATACGTATATTATTATCATAAAAGATGCAACAGAAGTTATTCAGACAGACGACTTCACAAATTGGGACAATAATCGCCGGTCTCTGCATATACAATATCTGTAAACCGCCAACAAAAACCTGGCACCTACCACCATTGTAAGTGATGCAACATCCCATGATCTACATAGGCGACTTCAATAGCCATCACACTATGTAGGGCTACCCAGTTAACAACCTGGCAGGCAAACAATCCTGCATTGGGCATCTGCACAAGACCTCTTCCTCGTTTTTTATGTCAAGCAACAAGGCATATCCCACTCTGCACGGTGGAATAAGGAATATAACCCAGACCTGTGCTTTGTAACCAAAGATAAGAATGGCAAGCCTTTGTCCATCATGTACAAAGTCCTGCCTTGCTTGCCGCACAGCCAGCACACGCCCATGGTCATCCATGTTGGCCACGAAATCCCAGTAATCACCAGCACACCAAGACCCCACTGGAACTTTGGACGGTCAAATTGGCCTAGTTTTATGGCTGCGGTGATAAAGAACATCAACCACATCTCCATGAACCCTGAAAACTCTGAGCAGTTCATAGCGCTCATAAAGAAAGCTGCCAGGGATCTGATCCCGCAGGGCTATCGGAAGTCATACACCCCTAGCTGGACTGCGAAAAGTGAAAACCCACTTTGAGAACCACAAAGCACCGGCGACCCAGAGATCGCCACAGCCCTTCTGCAGTTACTAGATTCTGCCAGACGAGCAAAGTAGGCAGCAATGATGGAGTATTTTGACTTCATGCACTCCAGCCGCAGGGCATGGGGTTACTGCGAAAACTCGGTGGAGCAGCACCCTCAGACCATCAAACTCCTAAGGCAACTGCTAATGGAATAGCGGTGCAGCTTCTTGACAATGAAAAAACAATCGGAAGTCAAAAACAAGAACGCACAGTAAAACAATCCGCAAAAACATACACTTTCCACCAGTGTCAAAAACTCTCCTCTGTTTGCAGCTGTACTTCTGGAAGAAATATATGTCGCACTGATGGTAACAAAGGCAGGTAAAGCCACAGGAATAGATGGAATTTACCCGGAATTCCTAAAACACCTTAGCAGCAAAAGAACCTGGCTGGCAAAACTTTCTTCAAAAATCAGCAAGCTACCAAGACTTTGAAGAAAAGCAAAAGTCATTGCTCTCCTCAAGCCAGAAAAAAATATGCTGATAACCTGCACAGCTACAAGCCAATCTCTCATCTTCGTACAGCCTACAAGCAACTGGAGTAAGTACTGATAGCTCTCCTCTCTTGGAAGCCACCATACCACCTAAGCAGGCAGGTTTTCATCTACAACAAAGCTGTCGTGACCAGGTCCTCGCCTTGACATCACACATCGAAGCCGGCTGTCAGCATAAACAGAAAACAGCGGCTGCTTTAATAGCCCTGTTCTCTGCATACGACACGGTGCGAAAAAACGGTTCGCCTCATTGTCAGTATGCTCAGTAACTGAAATTTCGTGTCCATCTCGTAAACCAGATCAACCTTCCACGAACTCTACAAAATGGCCTACCGCAGAGGTCGGTATTAGCACCAGCCCTGTTTAATCATTATACCAGCGACCACATTAAGCCGCAAGTTCATTTAGGCAGACAATATAGCACTGGCCAATCAAGCGACAACACTCAGCGCAGCTCAAAACATCTTGAACACCGACCTAAAGAAATTGGAAGATTATTACTACTCCTGGCGACTTAAGCCACATCCAACTAAGACAGCATCCTCAGCATTCCATCTCAACACCGCAGAGTAAAAAAGTACGCTGCAGATCGCATTTTGTGGTAAAACGTCACCAATGGCCCACTCCCAAAATACCTTTGAGTGGTGCTCAATCAAAGTCTGACTCTCAAGCAACACATTGAGTGATTGAGCAACAAGAAGAAAACCCGCATGAACATTATCCATAAACTGGCAGGAACCAGTTGGGGCTGTGATGCGCAAACACTACGGACTGCCACACTCGCCCTCGTGTATTCGACGGGAGAGTATTGCTCACATGTGTGGGGACACAGTGCTCACACTCGAGTTATCGACAGACAACTGAACATCGCAATACGTGCCATCTCAGGTATGCTGAAGTCGATGCCGACCCAGTGGCTCCCAGTGCTTACCCACATTGCTCCGCTGCATATCCGTCGTGAAACAGTGGCCGTCAGGCAGTACCAAATAATTCTCGTCAACCCGCACCTTGCAATACATCAGGACATAAACCCAGTGCCGCCTGTTCGCCTGAAATCACGTCACCCCTTCTGGATCACAGCAGCCTCACTCCACACCACAAATATAAAATAAGGCGAGAGATGGAATGTGGCCGACGTAAAAAATAAATATCTCATACAGCACCCGACCGTCAAACCTCCCGGTTTCAACCTTCCATGCCGCCAATGGTCGACCATCAACCACATCAGGACCAGGCATCACCGATGCAGCCGACCGATGCAGCCAACCGATGCACAAATGGCGCATCAATGATTCGGCCACCAATCCAAAACGATCGACCACATTTTAAACAGCTGCTGCCTTCACTCCTTTAAAGGAGGAACAGACAAAATCCACTCTGCATCTGAACAGACAATTGAACAGATAACAAATATAGAATGACATCTTTAATCTGAAACTATGGATCCATACGAAATAATAAGATATGATAAATTATATGTACATAGTCAATCGTAGGGACAAGGACACCCTTAAAGCTTCCTTGAAGAGCTTTGGATTCGACCTGAAAAGCTGGGAATCCCTAGCACAGGACCGACCTGCCTGGAGAAGAAAAGTACAGGACGGTGCAGTCCTCTGTGAGAGTAGGAGACGCTCCTGTGCTATCTTGAAGAGGCAGCAGCGCAAATCTACCAAGGAAGGACGTGTGGCTGCACCTCAGAGCTCTACATCCTCCCTGACCTGTCCAGTGTGCCACAGGGAATTCCGGGCTCGGATTGGCCTCTTCAGCCATCTGCGCACTCATCAAAACCCAACAAAATGACAAATGTGCCATGGTCATCATCAACTTTGATGGACGAACAAGAAGAAGTCAATCGTAGAAAAACTGGAGTTCAGTGAATTTTGAAAACTGTCATCTCCTTTGGTGTTCAATCAAACACCACTAGAATATAATTAGCTACTCTGCCTCACTACACATTCTCGGTGAATTTCATTCCCCCCGTATCTGACAGTAACCAAAATCCGTGCTGTATAATATCTATACTGTTGCAGGGTGCCATTGAATAGAGCTTAATTGTTTATTGAGCACTTTCTGTTGAAATACATACAATATTTCTATCTACTATAAATAATGGAACATTTTCTAAACATGCTGATTAAAACATATAGCTCTAGCAGACATTATGGTGAGATTTACAAAAAATATATGAAAAACTGATATTTTATTTTGTAACATGATCTGTATTTTTTAAAATGTATATAAGTGATAAATGTAACCTCTCAGAGATGACACAATTAATACTTGCATATCTTAACTCGGTACTCGAGCCTCACAGTCGCCTTCATTACCCGTGTCGCTGCATCTCCCAACATGTCTCTGTCTCTACCCATTTGGGAGCAAGGGGGAGCGGCAGTTGTTCCCTCCGACTACATTTTGGAAGGCTATTACAGGTCACAGTAACTACTGGTTATCACTAAGAGCACACCAAATTGTCGTTCTGTGCTTGTGAACAAATTTGTTTTTTCAATGGAAACTGCAGTCCTTGCCATAACACTCTCCTCACCATGAAGTCAGTTTGTTTGATTTTGTTTCCATGTAAAACAGCCAGGAATCACATTATGGGTAAACAGATGTTCCTCTCACCTAGAAAGATTCTTCAGGTCGTCCAGTAGGATCCGCACCTGCTCCGTCTTGTTCTTGAATCTCTTATCTGTCAGGACAGCAGCAGCAGCGCAAAGCACTCGAGTCAACTAAAACTGAATTTATGGGGTCACAACTCGAGTCCATTGAGTCAAACTGGCTTACCGGGGTTGCACTCCAGGCCACTGACTCAAACCGGATTGCTGGAGTCACACTCAAGTCCATTGAATGAAGCCGGATTACCGGGGTCACACTCGAGTCCATTGACTGAAACTGGATTTCAGGGGTCTCGCAGTGAAAATATTACATTCCCATGGCAGACATGGTAACATGCTTCCTAAAAAAACTGTCATTTTTATTTACCTCAGACTCAGACTAACTGTAATCTACAGAAGTAATTATTTATAAATTGTTGCATTAATTCACTTATTAATGTATTGTAGTGAGAATGGTCTGAAAGGTCACAGTAAATATATGCACGTTGATTAACGTAACATTGTAAGTAAAGATAATTGTTTACAAATAAATGTATCTGTAATTTAAGACTAGATATTCACATTGACTTACAATAAACTAGATTTTAGTACTTACGTTAATTATGGTTTTAATAAGTGGTCACTGACATGCTCTTGCTCTCACCGAAACCTGGATATCTCCACTCAACACTGCGACTCCTGCCGCCCTGACCACCGCCTCCTCCACCTTTGTCCACACACACTTTGGCTAATTATAAAAGGTGGGGTATTGGTCTTCTCACTTGCCCTTCTTGGCTCCTCAACCTCTCCCTTTCACCTCCCTTTCCCTCTTTCGAATCCAAATTCTCCTCATTATCTTCCCCCCAATCCATATCTCTGTTCATTATCTAATGTTCTCCTGGCCCACCTTCTTCCTTCTTTGATTATCATGAATGCCCCCCCATCCCCACCCTTCTGGATGATTTAAATCTAAATCTCAGCACTCCCTCTATTGCTTATATCCTCCTTCCCCTGATCAATTCATTCAATCTCTACCTTCATCTATCTTCCCCTACTCATTCCTTTGGTAATATTCTTGACCTCACTTTCTCCACCGGTTGTCAAGCATCCCCTATAAAACACAGTCCCTCATTCCCCCTCCAATCACTGCCTCCTTTCCATCACCATATTTCTCCCCCACCTCATCCCCTATCCCTGTTCCTGCCCATCCAACCCTTAGACGTAATCTCTGCTCCCTCTCAACAAGTTATTTAAACTCTAGCATTGCTTCTCTCCTAATTGTTACATCTTATATTCTTGGGTCTTTCCCGACTCAGCATCCACTACCCTCTCCAATGCACTTTATTCCCCTCACTGTCTACCCACAATTCCAATCCAAGTTCCATCCCATCCATTGTATTGTTACGGCGGTACTCGCAATTCAAAACCATTTGTCAAACTCAGCTCATGCCGGTTTTTCTTCTATTCTCATTCTACTCGACATTACTGCAACAGTTGACCATCCTAATCTCTATTCTACCCTTTCCTCTCGGTATCTCGGGAATCCCTCTTTCCTGGTTTCTCCTCACGTACCTAAGCAGTCTCATCGAACCTCGTCACTTCTCCCCCATCCACTGTCACTGTCGTTGTTCCCAAGGTTCATTCCTCGGTCTCCTTTTTCTCTCTACGTATCTCCTCTCGAATCCCTCCTCTCATTATTCAACTTTCTCCATCATTTCTTTGCTGATGACACTCACATTTTTCTCTCCATCCCCTCTTTCACTGTTGACCTTGCTGCTCATATTTCTAGCTGCCTCTTTGCCATCCAATGTTGGATGTCTTTGTCTGTATCAATCCTTCCAAAACCCAAATTATTTTATTCCCTATTTCCTGTTCCCCTTCTCCCTGCCCTACAATCTCGTTCCCTATTTCTATCTTACCCCTGTATCATCTGCCCGTATTCTTGGCGTCATCTTTGACTCCTCTCCCTCTCTATCTGACCACATATCTGCCACTACCCGTTCCTGCCACTTTCACATCTACAACATTCACAAAGTCCGCTCGCTATGGCCACACAACACAACTTCTAATTTACTCCCTCATCTTCACTCGACTAGATTATTGCAACTCCCTAATGCTCGGTCTTCCCTCCTATGCATTAAAACCACTCCAACATTCCAAAATGCCACTGCCTGGATCATCTTCAAACTCCCTTACCACTCCCACACATCACCTCTCCTTTGCGTGGTTAAATGGGCGGTCAACACCCGAGTGAAGGTTACGTGATGTTGTGTTGAGTTGATGTAATGAATAATGTTGCTCCCAAGACAACGTCTGCGACTCAGTTGGACTCACCACAACTGGTGAGGGAAGTGGCCAACTTGTTAAGTTGTAGCAAGCATTAGACAAGTCACGTCTACACGTGGCAGAGTTCGTGTGCGGCGTCAAACGACGAAGATGACGAGGAGCTGATTCCGCCTACGGCCATCGAAAAAGGCGCGGAGGCACTGCCAGCGGAGCCGAGCGCAGTCGGGGCGCGCGGCGCCTCGTCTTAATTGGAGGTGCTCGTCAGGGACGCGCACAGTTGTCTTATTGATCTCCTTCAAGCAGCGTCCTCGATCCTCGCCGAGATGCGTTCCCTGTCCTCGACGGCAAAGGAGGGTGCGGCTGAGTTTTTCTGGACGGGGCGACTTGACCGCCATTTCACTGAAGGCGGGAACGCCATCGACGCTGCCCGCGCTCACGGCCGCCATTTTGCCGCCAGTGCGGAGCGCTGCGCCCGCCAAGCTTGAAGCGGGGACGACCTCGTCGATTGACGTCCAGTCGCTCCGCCGTCGACTGACCTTCATTAAAGAATTTGTTGCCGCCAGCGGTGATTGGGTGGCGTTTAAGCGGTGATTTCTCACCAATGCCGACTTGGCAGGATGGAAGGAGGCAGACGCGCTGAAAGCGCTGCCCGCCGCCCTCGACAACGATGCCTTGGCGGCATTCTTCGCCATCCCGCCGTCCGAGAGGTCCACCCTCACGCAGGCGTTTGACTAGATGGCCGCTGTTTTCGAGCCTCCACTGAACACTCGCCAGACGTTCGCCATAAGACGTAAAGGGGAAGGTGATTCGGCTCTCGCCTACCGAAGTCCGCTCTTGGCACTGGCGAAGACCGCATTCCCAAAAATTCACCACGACGGCCTTGATGCCTTGGTCCTCGAGAAGATGTTGCGCAGCTTTATCAGCTTTGCCTCTTACTATCGCCGATTTGTCGCGGGTTTCGCATCTATTGCAAAACCTCTCAAACATTTCATTGGGGGGGAGGAGGAGGAAACTGCGTTCTGCTCCATTCGTGATGGGCTAGCTAATGCCCCTCCCCTGCGTTATCCCGACTTTTCGTTGCCATTCATGTTGGACACGGACGCCAGTAATACCGGCATTGGTACGGTGTTATCCTTTGTTGTCAATGGCGTGGAGCACATGGTCACGTATGGTAGCAGGATTCGTCTCCTGCCGAGCAGCAGTACTGCGTAACGTGCCGGGAACTATTGGCCATAGTTTTTTTGTGCAACAATATCAGCCGTACTTGTACGGGAGACATTTTGAGGTGCGCTCCGATCACCCAGTGCTCCAGTACGCGCTGCGTGTGGATCAGCCCAAAGGTCAATTGTCACACTGGCTTGAAATCCTGCAGGATTTGTCGTTCCAAATTACATATTGTAAGGGTTGTTGCCATACAAATGCCGACGCCCTATCGCGATTTCCCACGCGCGGGGAGTGTACTTGTTTTTCGGGTTCCGGTTGTTGTCGACCGGCTGAGTCGACTTCCCCCTCCCCTCTCGTTACGTCCGCCGCAGACATGATTGGCGGGACAGGCGATGTCCCTGTTGCGCGGGATGCGGTTATCGGGTTGGACTACGAGGTGTGGGAACACCTACAACCGGAGGACGCATCTCTCCTTAAGTTGCACCGGCATGTCAGGGATACCGCCGGTGGCACGGCTCCGCGAGGTGTGGCCTTGTTTGTCCTGCAGGGCGGGCTGCTCCCTACCGCCATGCGTAGCGAGGTTGTATGGGCTGTGCATAAATGATTGTTGCATCTCGGAGCGCAAAAGATGCTGGCCGCTCTTAAATTAGATTTTTATTAGCCGGCCAAGGCCTTCGACGTCAAGGATCTGCTTAAGGGCTGCATACCATGTGCCCAGCGGAAGCCGCCAGCGAGATCCTGTTGCCCTCCGCTGAAATCCATCCAGGTGTAGTGACATAAGAAGGGAGGGGCTGCTGGGGGCTCTGGGACCCTGGGTGGGCCAGGCGCTTAAGCCTCTTGGCACCAGGCGTTGGGTTCCCAGGCGGGTCCAGACGCTTAAGCCTCTTGGCACCAGGCGTTGGGTTCTCAGACGCTTAAGCCTCTTGGCGCCGCCAACGGGGGGGGGGGCTGTGTGTGCTCTGTGGGATGTCTGGGGGCGCACACGGCCCCACCCCTCGTTGGACCAGGCATAAAAGGGGAGCTCCCTGGACGATCAGGGCCCAGTCGTAGCTCAAGACCCAAGACCCAAGACCAGCCATCCGAGGACCCTGGGACGCTGTGAGAGCCAGTGGTGGGACTCTGGAACTCCCGACTCTACGACCTTGTGAGGGGGAGTTCCAAAGCGTAGCCAGAGTAGAGTATCTAGGCTGTGTACCTAGGCTGTGTACCTAGGCTGTAACAAAGTATCAGGAGTGTTGGAGAGTCAGGACTGTTGGAGAGTTGGACTGTTGGAGAGTTGGACTGTTGGAGAGTGTTGGGTTGTAATAAACAAGTTATCTTTACAAGTGTCTCCGGAACCCGTTACATTTGGCGTCAGAAGTGGCTATGGAGACAAGAAGTAAGCCACATACCTTCAGTCCTGACGGCGATGAAGAGGAGCAAGCAGCGATGGGGCGGCCAACGCCGGCCGACAACAACGCCGCACCGCCGGCCGACAACAACGCCGCACCGCCGGCTGAGCAGCTGTCTGCTCCGCCGACCGTCCCCTCTCCAGCGTCGGAAGCAGGGATGGAGGAGGCGCTGCTTCGCCTCACAGAGCTGCTCTGCGCCACCGCCTCCCTCCTAGGCGAGATGCGGTGCTCGCGGCCGATGGCGGGAGGGAGAG